TTCCCTTCCTAAAGTCTTCAACTGCTTCTTTTTCAACACTAATTCCAAAGTTCCCAAATTAAGGAAAATATACCGAAAATAAGATGACATATATTAAAATGGGAAATAAATTCATGATTGTTGAGGATATGGATTTAGATTATGTGCTTGCATCCAGTATATACTCATATTTTTTTGGGTACCAGAGATTGAACTCACAACCTTGTGCTTATCAGGCAGGTGCTTAGGGTGCTGAGCTAAATCCCTGGCCCCATATTCAGATTTAACACAAAGTAAAATAGTAGTTTCATGCTAGTATTATCATGTAGCTGTCACATCCTGTGAAATATTCCTTATGATCCTTTTGATTCTCCTATAATCTGGACACATCATAAATACTTAAATTTAGTAGAATGACTAAGTTAATATCCTGGTTACTAACCAGGAACTTATTTTATTTCAATTCTAAATACTGAAAACATTTCTAATGCAGGGATAAACATGCTGTTAATTTTTTTCAGCCAGGCCTGATAGTGCATGTTTGTAATTCCAGAATTTGGGAGGCTGAGGCAGGACTGCCATGAGTTCAAGCCCAGCCTGATTGATACATAGTGAATTTAAACCCAGCCGGACTTGCATAGCAAGACCCTATCTCAAAATTAATTAATTAAAACAAAATTTAATTTTTTTCAAAATCAGTCTGGTCAACTCTCCAGGATGATGAAGTTAACATGAAATGTGAATCAGAAAACAGACAACCTAAGTCCAAGACTTAATTTTGCCACTTACTATATTCTGAGGCAAATTATTTGACTTGGTTTCTTTATTTGTAAAATGGAGATGATACAAAACTACATCACAGAATTATCTTAAGATTCCAATAATGTAACACATAAAGCTACACTTTCTGAAATGATTTTGTTTTCTGGTAGGTTACAGAAGAAGACGTTCCAAATCATTTTATAGTACAATCCCTAGAATATTCTTCTAGGGCTGGAAATAGAGAAATGACTGATTGCTATGTGGCTTTTTGTTTTTTGGGGGTTTTTTTTTGGTGCTGGGGATCGAACTCACGCCTCGTGTTTGCCAAGCAGGGATTTATGCCACTGAGCCCCAACCCTGACTGCTATGGTTTTGATGTCAACACTCCAGAGGTTCACGTGTTGGAAGCTTGGTCCCCGGTGCAGTGATATGTAAGGTCGTGGAGCCCTTAAGAAGTAGGCTCTAGTGAGAGCTGCTTAGGTCATCTGGGCACACTGCCTTAGAAGGGCTCAATGCTGGTCTCAGAGAAAGTTAGTTCCCAACAAGTGTGGGCAGTTAATAAGAGTGAGTCTCACCTTTGAATCTCTGCTTCCTGTCTCACCATGTGATCACTTTCACATACACCGCCATCACTGTAATAATACCTTTCCTACGAGGTACTCAATAGAGCGCAGCAAAAACCAGTGCTGTGCTCTTGGACCTCTAGAACTGTAAGCTAATTAAACCTCTTTTCTTTACAAATTAGTTAGCCTTGGGTATCTTATTACGGTAATGAAAAACAGACTCATACACTGATCTTACTGTCTTGTGTTTCTTTTCTTAAAAAATAAGAAAACTGGTTAAAGTTAACTGTAGCTATGTGCCTAGATAAAACAAACATTAAACTAGTATTCTCTATGTAGTATTACTTATAATGGAGAAACAGCTCAAATGTTCAGTAAAAGAGAGGTTGACAATACTAACTTGATGCAATCTTACTGTTAGGTGATAGATTTGTAAACCACCAAAACATGGACACATTTCTATGAAACACGAAACAGCAAGTCCAAGACAGTACTGTCTCTGATGACATCTATGAAAGCAGCTGTATTTTTAGCCACTATCTAATCAAACATACTAATTGGCATACTGATCATCCAAAGGAAGACCAAGAAAAAGAATGTTTTTCATCTTATCAAGTTCAAAAGCTGCTGGAGTAGCCTAAGTAAGAATCCTTTGAATTTCACAAGTTTTTGTGAAATATTTTTACTTGGTTAGAGGGAAACTTAGGACAAGGTAACTTCAATTTACAAAAGTAAATTTCATTAAGAAACACAAAGCTTTAATTAGCTTTACTTATACAGATACACTCTTTACTTGTATATTTATACACACTCTTCCCACTATGTTTTGCTTTTGTGTGATACTGGAGGTGAACCTAGAGCCTTCTCAATGAAGTACACCTCCAGCCCTTTTTATTTGTTTAACTTCTGAGATAAGGTCTTATTAAGTTGCTAAATTTCCTGAGCTGGGTTCAAACTTATGATTCTCCTGCCTCAGCCTGTCAGAGGGCTAGGATTCCCGGCAGGTGCCGCACTAGGGCTCCAGTATACTTCAAGATTCGCGATCTCACTGCTGGAGCAATAAAGTTTAATGCCAATGGTCATATATATATTTTTTTGTTTACCTTCATGTCTATTCTACTTTCAGAGTTAAAAAAAAAACAAAGATATGTTACAGTGTGGAGTAAGGGCACACAATAGTACTCCACTGACTAGACAATTTAGCCATTCAATGATTTTAATAATAGTAACTTCTTTTTTTTAATCGGTATCAGGGATGGAACTCATGACCACGGGCTTGCAAGGCAGACACTTATGCCACTGAGCTAAATCCCCAGCCCCAATAATATTAACTTTTGTTAAAATCTTTTTAGCAAAAGTTTATTGGGATCATCTATATATTCAAATCTAGTCAATGTTACATGCCCAGCTCAATTTTCAGCAATATACAAGAAATTCTACCTCAAAATGCCTGGATATCCTTGAACATTTGCTTCCTATCTATTTTATTTTTTAGAGGTTATTATAATATAGTTCACGGGGGAAGAAATGTTATCTAAAATTCCATGTAGATGTGTGTATTTGCATTTTATGATGTAAATCCATACTTGTCTGCAGATTTTCAAAGAATTTCATGATCTTAAAGTAGGTCAAGAGGAGTAATTATGTCTCAGTTGATAATCACTAAGTAAAATAAGGCATTCCTCCCACAGAAATGAAGATTCACAAACTTTATGACTGAACTCTTGCCAAATTCTTAGACTAAAAACAAAAGTTTAAACAGAGTATAAAAGATGTATGTAACTCATTCTCTATTAACAGAAGAGGTTACCATCTCCTAAGATCCATCTGCAACAACGTAAACTACACCAGTGATATGGTTTTCAATAGTCATTTGCACTATTTTTTGAGATAATTAAAAGTTTGTACAAATTTTTCATACCAGCTAAGTTACCAAGTCACAAGATAGACAGTATAATTATTCCTTTATCAAAATCCTGACTTTCAGTACTTCTAAATAAAACTCTTTTCAATGTCAGTGGAAACAGCATTACTCATCTAAAAGAGGAAAAAGTAGTCCTTTCCTAGTGTCTGTAAAATCCAAGAAGCATTTGTCATAAGCTATCAAAAACACTAGTAGGACTTAATAAGGCACAGTGTTCCAAAACCAAAATCGACATTATTTTTTACAGGTAAGTGATAAAATCTAACCCATAAAATCTATTTCCAGAGAAAGAAAAATGTAAAATTTGCAGTTTGTATTTAAGCCTCAGAAATAACGGTCCAAGGCTAAAAGTCAAAGTTAAAAGTCGCAGAATATTCATTATTTCAAGTCAATGTAAAAAGACATTCAAGGTTGTTCAGTTCAGTTTCTTGTCTATTTCCTGCCTTAGGTATCTATTTTTTCCTCAAAAAATTCCCTCTTAGTGTGATTTTAAAATTAACTTCTAATGGTCTGTTATGCACACTGAATTTTTTGTCCTTTAGGAATAGATTAATCCCATTCATAAACTACACCGCAACTTACAAGAGGAATGTGTTTCTTTCCAGAACCTTAAAAAAAAAGCAAAGTCGATGAAAGAACCCTGCTGCCACGTCTCTCCCCGCCCCCCCAATCACGTAGTGGCTACTCCATCCCTCCCGAGAGCATTCCGAGGGTAAGTCGAAGAGCCACAGCTCTCAGAGAAACAGTTAAGTGGAAAATGGCAAGGCTCTGACCTTTCAGATCAGTTCCTAAAAGGGGACCTAGCTGCTTTTCCTCCCTTAAGACAGTGCAAAGTTTCAAGAGTCTTCTCCATTCTGCAGAACACAGAAGCAGTTAGCGTCCAAAAACTTAGTATGCCATAGGCTGGGTTATTTAGGAGAAATAGTTTCATGTTTATCGTACCAGCAACCCTTGACACATTACATGGGGTGAAAGGGGGAGTCTTACAATCCAACTCAGAATTCTCAGTTGTGGAAGTTCTAACTGGACTTTTACCCCAGCAAATTCGAGGTTAGGGAGCTTATATGCCTTTAAACAGTCTGAGGATGAAGAGGGAAGGAAGAAGTACAGCTTCCCCCACCCAGTCTCGGGTGATGTGACAGCAACTTCCCTGGAACCAGCGGCAATGAACTCCGCGCCTCCAGGCTACATTTAGCTGCCCTGGCAGCACCTCGCCGCGGCGCAACAGATGAGCTCAGCTCCGAGTCCCATGGACCTCCCCGACCCGACGACTTTCCCATCGAGCAGAACGCTCGGGAGCTCCAGCGGCAGCTCCAAGCTCCAAGCTGCTCTCGGGGGCCTCATGCTAACCATCTGCAGTGTTTGCGGCCAAAACCCAAACCCGCCCTCTCGTTCCTCTCAGCTCCTTAGGGAAGACCAGGTACTGAGACCAAAAGGGCGATTCCCCGCCGGGAAGGAACATTCAAGAAAGTCCTCGACCCGGGGCGGGGACAGAGGCTGATGCGGCCCTGACAGTGGAGGCGGGAGGCGGGTCGGGAACAGGAGTGGGGAGTGGGGCGCAGAGAAGGGCGGCCAGGCCTCCGGGGCGGCGGGAACGGGGCACCGAGCTCCGGGGAGAAGAGCGCAAGGCTGCCGCGAGGAAGCGCTAAGTCCCGGCGCCGGCCATCCCAGCACAGCGAGGAGACACCGCACCGCATCGCTGCGGCCGCGTGAGAAGGACCCGCGGCTGCTCCGCGTCTCGGCTCAGCTGAAGGGTCCCAAGAGCGTCTCACCTGGGTAGTGGGACGGGAGGGTGGCTCGCTCTGGATTCAGGTCGCCTTCTCCCAGGACTACTTACTCCCTGCCCTCAGCTCGCTGGCGGTGCAACTGGGCAGCAGAGGGAGCCTGTTAGCCCTTTTATAACCTCTAGGCCGCGACTGCCGTGCAGAGGAGGAGGAGGTGACTGCAGCTCTAGCTACGTGAGCTCCGTCACACCCGCGCCTCGCAACTGCGCAGGCGCACAGGCCAGCCTCCCTCTCACACCCACACACTGGGGCCATAGGAGTCTGAGGCCAAGGAGAGGAGCGTCGGGGGTTGGGCAGCGTGGGAGCGTGGGCGGGGCTGGGATGTAACGCGCCTGCGCCGTGAGTGCTCATACCACGCCACCGTTACCGTGGTTACCACGGGGTTTCCCCGCTCTCGTTCTACTTAGCGCCTGAATTCAGGATCCGTCTTCAGGTCTAAAAGACGAAGCTACCTGCAAAGATATCCTGAAAGAAAGAAGAGTAACATCGGAGCATAGCAAATGGCGCAACAAGGAACCCTAAAGTCGAAAATAGTACGATGCGTCTAGTCTTGGTACGTCAGCTGTTTTGGCGGTAAAGGTTTTTACTTTGCTCCCACACACATTTCTATGTCATTTTGTAGGAAACACGCTCTGACTCCCTCTTTATACTTTATCAGCAGATAACAGAGTTCCACAGTCAGGTGATTGGATTTAAAACCTGACTATATTGTTGGGTTCTTTGATCGCGGTTTCCTCGTCTTAAAAATAACAGTATTATCTGTCTCCGAGGATTATTGTAGGATTTAAATGAGATATTGGATTATAGCCGGTACCACTTACCTGGCATACATAAAGGACTTGGTAAATATTAAAATCAGTTGTTCTAATATTAAGTACTCCAGGCGCTGTGATAGAGTGTTTAACTAGGTTCAATTCCCAAAATTACTCTAAAAAAAAAAATTAAGTACTCTATATACAGCATTGAATATTGTGTTTATCTCAGTCAAATTCCTAAAAGAAAGCTTTGCTTATCAGGGGGAAATGAAAGCCAGGCGTGATGGTGCACATCTGTAATCCCAGCACTCAGGAGGCTGAGGCAGGATCCCTGTGAGTTCCAAGCAGTTCTGAGCTACAAAGTGAGTTCAAGGCCACCCTGAAGTGCATAGTGAAACCCTGTCTCAAAAAGACAAACAAACAAAAAAGTGACGCAATGAAGGTGCTCATTTTTCTCCTCAGTGAGAAGGACTAACCTCCCTAAAACTCGTTATTCATTAATTGTTCTTTCTAAAGTTTTCATTGTATACCAGAAAGAATAGCAGTGGTTAACAGTTGATGCTTATCTGGAAGGTGGGGTTGATTATACAGATGCAGAAGTAGAGAAATCAAGAAATAGTGCTCAGCTTTAGGCAACCAGAAAGTAGATACAGTGACACCTGTATCGGTGGTTCTCAAAGTGTGGCCAGAAGGTCAGAGGTTAAAATTACTTAATGTTAACACTATTTGCCCCTTTCACTGTAATGGAAATACAGTGAGGTTTTCCAAAGGCTCCAGATCTGTGCTATTAAAACAGATTCACTTCTGAAAGTATATGAGCAGAGCATATTTAGGTCAGACATAGAAAGAGATTTGCTCAAATGAAAATACCACTCTTCTACTAAATTGTTATTACTTTGGAAACTGTATTCTCATTTTAAAATGTTATTTATGCCTGAGTGAAGTGACACATGCCTGTTATTCCAGCACTTGGGAGGCTGAGGCAGGAGGATCCCTTCTACTTCCAGGCCAGCCTGGGCTGTATAGTGAGTTCAAGGCCAACCTGAATTACATAGCAAAATCCTTTTTTTAAAAAAAAAAAAAGTTATTAATATTAACATATAATTATTTTACATGAACAAATATTTGTGTGTTTAACTCTAAATACAGTAAAGGTTGATAGAGATGATCCACATAAAAGCTTCTTGTAAACACTTTTTGGGAGTTAGAGTTATCAAGAACTAAATTAGAGCTTTGGACCCAGGGACAGATTCACTATGAAGCCAATGAAATTTCAGCTTCAAGGCTTCTCATTTGCACTTTTTTTTGGAGACAGAGTCTCGCTAAGTAACCCAGGCTGACCTCAAATTCAAGGCAGTCCTCTTGCCTCACTCCCAAGTGCTGAGATTACAGGCATGCACTACCACACCTGGATCCTTGAGTTCTAAAAGTTATAATAAACACCAAAGGAAAAAGCTAAATTTTTAATACTTTCCGTAGAAAATTGTTACAAAATTATTAACATATGGAGAGACGGAGTATGAGACATAAACAAACATAAGAAAAGGAATACGGAAATGTGTCAGGAAGTTAATCAGTAACATTATTATATTGCTTTTCTGAATTTTATCTTTGTGATTGTGTTAATCCATTTAGTGTTACAATACTAAAGTACTTAAGCCTAGCTGCATTGTAAAAAAGAAATGCACCTTCCGAAGGTGGTGCCCCCAATAACCTAATCACTTCCTACCAGGCCCCAACTGTTGAAGGTTCTACCACCTCTCAATATGGTAGCAATGTGTTCAAAATCTCCAGCACATGAACCTTTGGCTGACAAAATATTAAACAGCAACAGCAGTGTTTGGGATTTTTAAAACCTTGATAACTGGTTGCCCCCAAAAGACACTTCATATGACCATCTAACCTGATCATCTGTTTGGTGAGACTGAAAATGAGAAAAATGCCTAGAGGACAAGGAAAAAAATGACATGGTCCCCTCTGAATAGTCAGACAGCACCAAATCTCTTCATCTTGCATCTGATGTGTTCATCAGTACATCTTAGATAATGTTTCAAGTTATATATGTTCTTAGGAAAGATAATTCTATAGATAAAGTACAAGCAGAAGTGATTTTAAAGCCAACCAATAGCCTAGTGGCAAGTCAGTTTAAAAAACAGCTCTAGGGGTTGGGGATTTAGCTTAGCGGCATAAGTGCCTGCCTTGCAAGCAGGCAGTCTTGAGTTCAATCCCTGGTACCAATAAAAAAGAAAAAGACAAAAAACAAAACAAAACAAAAAAACCAGCTCTAATAAGATGTGTAAACATCGTATTGTTTCATTAGTGTGAGAAGCTGAAAGGAAAAATATGTATATGTGTATGTATATATAAAAAATAGCTAAGATCATTATACTACTGATTTCTCTGAGTTTGCTGAAGAGAAAGATTTGTGCTTGTATTGTTCAGACAATTAAGTGCAGATGTCTTATGCTCTGGATAAATGATTTAGGGATGACAATGCACAATGTATGTACCATTGTTGCCTCCTAATTGACGTATTTTGAAATTTCTTCTTCTCCTCCTCTTCCTCCTTTTCATCCTTGAAATAAAATTAATATGAAAAAAGAAAAAAAGTAAAAGAAACAGCTTTTAAAAAATGAACAAAAACCCAGCCAATCAATGACAACTTGCCACTTTTTAAAAGTCAGCCAAACATATAGAAATAGTTGCACTCTAGTGAACGCATCTAGATTGGCTGATTGAAAGTTAGTCAGGCATCAATAGTCTGTTCATTAGAATAATCGTGCTTCTAAGAATGATGTCTATCCTGCCTCCCAAGTGCTGGGGTTACAGGCATCTGCCACTGTGCATGACTATAGTATCCCCTTCTAGTTAGCCAATCCTCCTCGGAATAGTATATGAATACAATCAGTATATAGCCTGTCAAGCATATCACTTCTACACAGAGACAATAAGTCGGCTTCTCATTTCACATTTTGAATGCGAGGTTTTTCTTTTAACACTGAGCATCTGTGTGACCAATGGAGAGGAAGACAAAAATACAAAACATACATCCTGTTACCAAAGCTGGTTTTAAACACCTTGCATGGGACCAGGGATTTAGCTCAGCAGCATGGTGCCTGCCTGGCAAGCGTGAGGTTGTGAGTTAAATTCCCAGTACCAAATAAATAAATATAAACACCTTGCAGGCACATATATGAAACAATTAGAAATCATTTGAGATAGTAAAGTATTAAACTGTGTTGTGAGGATTATGAAATATTGTGTAGAGTTAGGAAAATGAATAATTAAATTTGATGAAATAGGTAATAATGAATAGCTTTTTTGGTAGGGGACAAAAATGATGAAAAGAGTATTTTAGAAATATGCTGTGTTGCCGGGCGTGCTGGCTTATGCCTGTAATCCCAGCACTCGGGAGGCTGAGACAGGAGGATCGTTGTGAGTTCGAGACCAGCCTGGGCTAAAAAGTGAGCTCAAGGCCAGCCCGAACTGCATAGGGAGACCCTGTTTCAAAAAGACAAAAAAAGAAAGAAAGAAATATGCTGTGTAAATTACAATAGAAAATGGAGTCTAGTTAATCTGATATTCATTGAATATCTATGGAATGTTTGCAACACCTACTGTTCCTGAGACACTTCCTGCTGGAATTAAAAGATAAAACTTTATTGACAATCTCCACTTTCAAGTTTATATCCAGGGGCGGTATACTCGTGGAATCCCAGCACTCAGGAAGCTAAAGCAGAAGAAACACCTCAAATTCAAGGCCAGACTGGGCTATGTAGTGAGTTCAAGACCAAACCTGAACTACATAGCAAGACCTTGTCTCAAAAAACAAGCTGATAGTCTTACTGCATAGAGTTAAAACTTGCACTTGTGGCAAAAGGAATTCATTCAACCAATAAATATTCGTCTGCCAGGATGAGCTAGACTATGCAAAGTACTAGATGTGCAACTCCAACTGTCACAGAACTTAGAATCCTCCTAAGGAAACTGACAACATATGAAATTAGCAAATACACACACAGTATGATAACATAGGCAGTGATCTTTTAATTTAAAAATTTATTATAAGGGCCAGGGATTTAGCTCAGTGGCATATGTGCCTGCCTGGCAAGTGTGAGGTCATGAGTTCGATCCCTGGTATCCAAAAAAAAATTTTTTTTAATTCTTTATTAAATTATTAAATTTTTAAGTTTTTAGTAAAGAAATTGTCATTACTCTCCTCAAATTACTCCCCACTTAAACTTCTCCTGACTTCAGACACACTTGTCCCATTATTCTCACCACTTTTGAAACCGTTATGAAAGTCTTTTGCACCTTTGTGAGGTATGATCACAAATGCAGTGAATGCTGTTGCAGCTGAGTGCCATCCGACAAAAAGGCAGGCTTGTAAAACTATAACAGTGCATCCTC